GAGCAGGAGCAGGTGGGCCCGGGGTCGGGATAAAAGGATCCCTTTGATTGCCTGGAGCCGGAGAGATGAGCACTTGTTACAGGTGTGGGTCAGAGCCAGCGGGCAGTGGAAGCAGCCTGTGCATCTCGCCCGTCTGACAGCGACTCGGCAGCGCTTCTGGGGATTTTAGATGGAGCAGCTCATTTAGAATCTGATTTAACACCCACTGCAGCGTGTGGGAGTCACTGCTGGATCAGGAGCTGCTGTTCCAGCCTCTCAGGCACTAAATGGAAGGATTTTAATTATTCTTTTTAAACCCCAGCCTTGTTTTCTTCGCTGGGGTGTTATGATGTGGGACTTTCGCATGTGGAGCTAATTAAGGAGCGGAGAGGTGCTGGGGTTAACGTACTGTGCAAACGATCTATCTGGTGCTTGTGTGAGCTGCGTTTAATAAGGAGAAGGATGTTCTCTCCGCTTTGGGAATTCATGGAAACCATCTGAATAAAATTTTAAAAATAAACTCGGAGCAGCGTTGCAAAGCTAATCTTCTACGCCTGAGGGGAGCCCACGTAGACGTTAAAGAATAATCAGGCTGTAGGAATCGTGTCACCTCTGGGTTTCACAAAATGTGCTCGAGAAGCAGCGCATGAATCTCACTGCGAAACGAGGAGAGGCATCAAAGGTTATCAGAGAGACTCTGAAATGTCGCATGAGCCTTGAAGCTGAGTCATCTCATAGATAAATCCATGGAGAGAAAATCGGGGCTGAAGCGGTAGGCTTGGTTTAGAGAATAAGAAACGCTTCTAAAAATGTGCGTAACCAGGCAGGTGTCCTTCTAACGGCCTTCAGCCCATGAGGTAGGACCAGGAACATCCCAAAATACCCCAAGAAGGAACCGCTTGTGAAACAACACTCCCTCCTGAGCTCCCTGCCCCGGCACAGCTCCTGGGGGACGGCTGATGGCTCCAGCTCCCCGTTCTGGGGTCCTGCCGCTCTCTCCTGAGCACAAGGTCACTGTCACCCAGTGTCACCCAGTGTCACAGCAGGAAGCACAAGCTGGTGGTAGGAAGAAAAGAGGTCGAGTGATTCTCACACGATGAGAAAGTCCGTTTGTACCGCTGCGGTTTGGTGTTGAATCTTGCTGGTGTGGCCGTGCTGACACCCCAAAACTGCGACCTTGTGTCCGGGGCTTGTGTGTCTGGCAGTTGTGTTTTATCCAGGGACAATGAAGGTTCTTTGGCTCAGCAGAGAGCCCGCGGTGCCAGCTCCGCTTCACAGCTGGGGTCTCTTACCTCGCCTGGAGGGTCCCAAGGGGATGGAGGTGGAGGAAGAAAATGGGGACAAGAGGAATTCCTCCGAGGAAATGGTGGTTTGGCTTTGGTTAGAAACTTGTGCTCTCAGATGAAGAAAAAGAATAATGCTCTACTCGGGATAAACACAGAGCAGAAGTCCCACCTGGGAAGGGAAAGCTGAACGCTGCAGCATCTGCTTGTGTTGTGCACATCCGTAGTTTTTTCACAGAAAGGGAAGAAGATGTACTAAAGTTGTGCTAACATTAACAGTATGGATCTGTTTTGCCTATGGGCTCAGAGGCAGGTTATTGTTTTAATTTTAAAAAACCCCAAACCTCAACGCCCTGAGCTGAAAGGGTTTTCTGTCAGTTCACCCCAAAGGACCCGCAGGTGACCAGCCACCATCGTCCAGTGACCAGCAGCCGGTCAGTCCAGGGTTGCACACGCGGTCACTCGTCATGATGGGGCTCTGCCACCTGGTTGTGGGTTTCTCCAGCTTCAACAACCAGAAAGGGAAGAAGCGCTTGCTGTCTGGGGATAAAAATTAGTCCCTGGGTGTTATTTGCTCTTATCCTGGCTCTAGACAAACATTAAGATGCTGCTGGGGGCCAGAGACAGAAGCTGAGCCCAGCCTAAGGGCTAGATGTGCCTAATGATTTGTTTTATCTTGTAAATGGGTGAAACAAACCTTGGAAGTGGAATAGCAAATGACTGTTCCTCATTAGGATGCTCTGTCCTGCTCTCCCCCTGCAGCAGACAACCATCGCGCTGTTCGTGCCCAGGCTCCGCGCCGGCCGAGCCCCGTTAACAGCCTCTTCATCCGGGGGCTCCCACCTTAGGACAAATCGCTGGAAAGAGCAAAAACTGCCACGTTGCCAATTTTATTCAGATTAATATGCAAATCAGGAGGCAAATGCATCCGAGGAATGTAGGTCATGGAAATGTGGAAATGTGCAGTGGGAGGAGAAGGGACGAGCACCGGGGAGCTGGGGACCGGCTGGGAGGGGCTGGAGCTGGGGACCGGCTGGAAGGGTCTCCTCTGCCTTCAGCGGGGGCTTGCAGCTCCCCTGGGTCTGCTGGAGCTGTTCAGCGACTCTGGATTTTGGCTTTGGATGAAGCCAATGGATGAAGCCAAAATCTCATAAAAGCTTGTTTGCAGCGCAGGAGCGGTGGTTCCTGGGGCTTTCCTAGAGCAGGTGGTTTTACACGGTGCTCACAAGGGAACAGGAACGGCCAAAAATCTACCTGAGCCCAGCCACGAGGGCACCGCGTCACACTGCTCAAACAGCCGCCGCCGGGAGGACAAAGTCTGTCCCTTTGGAGACAATCGCAGCCTGAAGCTTGTTTGCAAACCTCCTCAGTGCAGCTTTCTGAGCTGCTCTTCCTCAGAACAAAGTGTGCTGAGGAGCGAAGGAGCCGCGTTATCTTGAGAAAGAGGGGCTGAGCCAGGGTCAGACAAACATTAGCTTTGCTGATCTCTGGTGCTGCTGGAGGCAAACCCCAGCCGGTTTTATTGGCGTAGGCGCTCCGCTGAATGCGCTGCTCCTGCTGCCTACGGGTCTAAAAAAAATTATCTTGATTTCGGTTTGGAGTATTGGTACTAATAATGTGTTTAAAGAAGTGACAAGAGTGATTATCTCCATTTTACAGCAGAAAAACCGAGAGGTGGCAGGCAGGCAGGCTGGTAACCAAGGCACAATACAAGCCCCGAGCTCCTGAATCCGGGTCCTGTGCCTCATCTGCACCTTCCAGCCTTCCCCCACCACATAAACCATCTCCATGGGCAGGAGGGGAGCCCAGGGGATCAGGGTTTTTGGTTTTACCCTCTCCTGCAGTCAGCTTTGCTGGTGTGGGAGGCAGCTCCCGGCTCTGGGAGGTTCAGGAGGCTGCTTGCCCCGGGCCAGCGTGCTGCCGGGAGCCGTGGTCCTCCCCTTGGCTCTGTGTCTCATCAAAGCATTCTGGCTAAACTGCACGGCTCTCATTCATCCACGTGACAATGTACTGCTGCGTTCAGCCGGATCTGGGCTTGACACCGTGAAATTAAGGAGAATCTCTCACGCGGGGGGATTCCTAAAGCAGTCCCAGCCTTGGGCTCTGCGGGAAAACACTCCCGGGATCGTCCTGCAGCGTCCCTTCCGCAATGTCAACAGCAGCACAGGAAACCACAACCCAGAAAGGCCGACAGACTGGTTTTACTACAAACTAAAGGTAATTTATATTTTTGTAAAATTGCAGCAGTGCATGCTCAATGCCTCTCAGGATTTGTTTGCACCTGCAGCGGTACAGCACTGGGGATGCTCACCGCAGCCAGCCCAAGTACTGTCTTCTCCCTAATCCGCTCGACAAGGAGGAGGAATGAGCTGAGTCACCCCACAAACTTGTTGGTGGAGCCTGGTCCACCCCACCCACGGCACCGACCTCGCCAGCTCCCCACCGTTGTGTCGCAACCTTCCTGCCAGCCTCCCAGCTCCTCCCCGGGAACGCTGAGGACGCGGGCTCTGCGGCTATCGCCGGGCGCTTTGCTATCGCGCCAGCTCGTCGCTGTGCTGCCTCCGGGGAAAGAGCAGTGCAGAATTTCCTTGATGATACATGGTGCAATGAAGTCTTATCCATGATTTTTTGCTTTTCCTTTGAGACAACAACCCAGGAGCAATGAATGAAAGCTTCTCCCTGCTTTCCTTACGGTGAAGTTGGAATCACACTTTACAGGTTGGTCGGTTGTTTTTTTTTAAAAAAAAACCCTCTCCATCCTTGAACCTTGCCTCCAACTCCAAATTCAGTGACAAACTTCCCCGTGAGGCCGAGTCAAACTGGAGTGTTCCCAGTTCACCCAGGAACAGAACGCTTTCACCAGGCACTGTCAGTCCTCCCCCTGCCTCAGCTGGAACACGAACAGACGTACACGCTGCTGTGGTTTCAGGAAATACAGAAAAAAGGTGTTTGATGCCAGTAAACTTGGAAAGACTTTTTAAAACAGAGTGACAGACCTTTTTCTTTTTTTTTCTTTTCCTGGAACTCTGCAAGCTGAGACAATGCAGCGCAAATCCAGGTCTCAACGGACCAGGCTGGTCAGTGGTCACACCAACACCTATGGAGCAAATGGGATTTTATTTATTTTTTTTTTAAAACCCTACTCCAGATATAGAAGTCATGAGGTGCTTGATCATTAACATTTGCTTAACAACTTAATTAGTCCAATACGGAAGCAGACTGGAGCACAGTAATCCACTCTCTTCCGAGAGCAGGTGGATCAGACCCTCTGCAACCGCTGATGACGCTCCAAATGCATGTCACCAACTCCAGGGACTTGAGGGAGAACGTTTTAAAGCAAAAGAGCACAGTGCCTCCACCTTCAGCGCCGTCCTACAGCATTCCTTGCCAAGCATTTGGGAGAAGCCAATTACAGCCAATTAGAAGGATCAGGCTTAATTCAAGGCTGAAAACAAACATTCCTGAAGTCACTGGCTTGGAAAGAAAGACAAAGCAAACAAACCATAACACCTGATGGGGCTGGAAAGCAGAGCGAGGGCAGCAGTGCCATCACCTTCAGCAGTGCCATCACCTTCGTCAGCTCTGGATTATACAGGCTCGTTAGTTACATTTTTAGAGATAACGAGATGGTTTAGCAGATTGGCCCCAGGAGTCAGGCAGTGCCTCTGTTCTTAGCTCTGCCTCTTCACATTAACCAAACAGTAATTAAAAAAATAATAATCTCACTGCGAATGTAATACTTAACCTGCAGTTAGCATGCTTCTTGGAGCTGTGTGTAGTTCTATATATAGAACAATGCTGTTTATAATATGAAAGAAGAAGAGGAGGAGTTAGTTTTAGGTCAATGATTCATGCTGTTGAGATAAACATTGCTTCAAGAGGTCATGCAGACATTCTATCATGAAACACCTAAGAGAACATCAAGTCCAATTTTTATAAACATTTATTGTAAGTAGGTCAAAATCAAAGGCCAAGTTTCAAACAAAAAGAATCAGACATACAAGCCTAACTTTGTTTCCAGTTGGCTGCTCAGGAACTCTGCAGCATCCCTTTCTCAGTTTTTCAGTTCAGTTTTTCACTATCAAATATCAACAGGGTTTTTATTCAGGTTAAGTGATTGAACTATAGTCAAGTTTAAACATTCACAGTATCATCAAGAGTTGTGGCTAGCACCACCTGGTCAAAAAGTCTTTCAGGAAGAGAAAATAAATTTAAAATGCTAACCTAGCTTTCAAACTGAGGTAGACAGGTCATGGTGACTTGAGTACCGAGGGCTGGTTTTTTATTTTTTTAAAAACTTGTTCACCTAATAAAATGCTTTAGGCAACAATTTAGATTGTTACGTTAGTATTTCTGATAGTGAGAAACTTTGTTTTGAAAAAGTACACTTTTTTTTTAAATAGAAATATTCCTCTTCTGTTACCAAAATAATCAGAAACCTCATAGAAAAGCTTTCCTCTGATGACTGAAGCCTGCTTTGTAACAAGCCATGTTCAAGTAGCCAGCTACCAGCTTGCTGTTCACAGTGTAGAATAAGCAATTCTTTACCTTACTTTTGCTGTCCAGCCGAGGAACACAGATCAAGAGGGCTATACCTTGAGCATTTTAACCTGCCTACACAAACAGAGGTTGTTTCAGTTTTTCAACCACCAAGTACAAAGTCTGTGGTCTCCCCCGGTCCCTCAGCAGGATGGTACACGCAGCGTTTGTAACACTCCCTGGGCAGCTCCCTCTCCGCAGGCGTCTGTGAGCTGAGTTTCATCCAGTGGCCTTGGGGGCCAAACCCCATCGCTGATTTAAATATCCAAAAAGACAGACACGGGGAGAAGAAATCCAAGCTGCTTCTGCGGGAGAAAATCGACACCCCAGTCACGCTATGAAACAATTCTGATCCCAAGAAGGCAGAGGCTAGTGGCCAAAGAACAGCTCAGAAACAGGTCTGCGCTTCACGACGACCTCCTCTTCCTCCTCCTCCATTACCTCGGAGAGCGAGGAGTATGAAGGGAAGCCCCCTCTGGTCTTGGGCTTCCTCCTTGGGCCCGTCGTGGCAGCCAGCAGCTTGTTTAAGGACGAGGGCTTCCTCAAGCCTTTGGTGAGATCGTAGAACGCCATGTCATCGGATATGACCCCCAGGAAAGTGCTGGTGGAGCTCAGGATTGACGCCGCAAGCTTTGTGCTCTTCTTGATGGGCACGGAGGGCTCCGCGTTGTGGGACAGGCTGGGGTCCCCCAGCAAGCGCCTGACGTTGGAGGACGTCCCTTCCTTTAAGTACTGGTGTGGCTTCTTCCCGCTGTAGTCCCGCAGGTCGGTCTTGGCGTGGTAGCTGTACACCAGCATGTTGATGATCTTCTCCTGCCCGTGGATGGCAGCGAGGTGCAGCGCCGTGTACCCGCCGTGCCCACGTTCACGCGAGTCCCCCCCTTCTCCGCCGCTTTGATGATGTTCGTCACCATGTCGCAGTTGCCGCTCTTGGCGGCCCAGTGCAGGGCGGTGAACCCCGAGATGAAGTCCCTCCGTGCCGCCAAGCTGGCGTCGCCCAACAGCAGCCCGTGGAG